GCCAATAGATTTATTCTTGGTCCAAACCAATCTAAAACGACTGCAGACCAATTCCAAATATTCAGTCCGAAGACTTAAACTACGTATAGCACGTTTACAGATGTCACAAATCTTATTATTGACCAATCCTTCATCATATCTGATGCGAATTACCAATCTGGCCGACAAACACAAATTGAACTTTCTCCGACATGCATGCGATAAGACCAATTTCAAGGTGGAGCGAGATCGTTTACAAGAGAGACAGCGAACTTCATTATAAGCACTGATAAAGCGGTTAAGGTCCCAGTCACATAGAAGCTTCCTAGTAACTGGCTTACTCAGAAGAAGAAGAAGGGTGTTTTTAACCTGCAGGGATCGAGAGCAGAAACGAGAGAGCTTATGGACGGTCAAAGAGACACCTGGTTTAAACCAATGTCGGCAGTATCTGAGGAGAGTGAGAGGGAGAGCATCGGAGGAGAGAACAGAAGACCCAAACATGCGTCTAATTAGCTTCCAGTTTTTCGCCAAACAGTTCCCTGAAATGATGGAGATGGTGAAGGGGTTGGTTGACCGAGAGTCATGAGCAACATGTAAGATTGACAAGAGGCTGACAGTGGTAGATCCAAGGGATGAAATGAAAGTGAACGGGATTTTTGACGGGGGAGTATAAGTAGGTTGAGGTTTATGATTGACGGATTGAGGGAAGGAGGTTATAAGTTGAGTAGGCGTGGAGGAATGTGGAGATGAACCAGTTGAGGGCGAAACAATGGGGGTTGGATTCAGATTGGTAGAAGCAGCAGAAAAGACAGCAGGTCGTTGTCTATAATATTTAAGTCTTTCTTTGCGTCCCGGTCTATAAGATCTGTGTCGTTTTTCATGCTTTGAAGAAGAGTTCAGCGAGGGAGTAAAAGAGCGAATAAAGAATTGCTCAGAAGGCAATAGATCAGAACTACTAGTAACGAAGAGAGGAATAGTGACATAGTTATCTAAGTTGGTCCGTCGAAGCCAGCGGTAAAGCTTGCGATTAGCGAATTTAAGAGTGGAAGACGATGAAGAGAGAGTAGAGGCAACATGTTCTTTCCAACGAGTGTCAATAGATCTAGAGGTACATCCAATATAGACATGGCGAAACCAGAGAGAAAAGATAGCGTAAACCACAGGGCGTGGACAGAGACGAAAATCATAATTACTGTTAATTAGTAGGGAAAGTAAACGAATAAACTTATTACCCCATCTGACGACCAGTTAGAATCAGCAAAATAACTACAAGACGAAAAATATACGTTACCTCCTATACCGGCAAAGAACTTCGATGATCGTGACAAAACAGAGCCAAAGACCAAAGATATGATGCACTCAGGGCGTTCCCCTAGTCATCGTTCGTCTCCTCAACCGAGGTTGAGTAGTGTTGGTCTTGTTCGTCATCTTCACGGGCCGTCCTCGATGCCACCCACTCGTCGAAGTCTCTTCTCGCCCGAATCTCGGCAACATCATTCTTTGCTTGATCCAACTTCACGTACGTGATGCCCTCCTCCTCACAAATCTTTTCAAAGTCGTTTTTCTTCCCTGATCGCAGTTCTTTGAGTCGCTTATCCCTGAAACCCTGCAATTTGGTCACTTCTAGCTCATGAGCCGTATCAGGGACAGTGCAACCCTTACCATTCTTACCTCGGTTTTCTTCATCCTCTTTCTCATCGTCGGAGTCGATCTCAACAGATTCGAGAGTGGTCTTCAAATTCCTTGGAGTCGTTTTTCTCGCGGCAACAAATTTCCGAATGGATAAGCGGATCTTGGAAGCCTCCGCCTTAGCCATCCGCTCCTTAAGGCACCCTGCTTCCCGTAATGCCATTTCCTTCCCTGCCAAGGCTTCTTTATATGCCTTGTACAACCCATCCATATCCTTGGGCGTGTACATAGCGCTAACATTCGCATCCACCCGGTGCTTGCCTCGCGATGGAGCTTCCGGAGGGCTCTTCTCAGTAACTGCCTCAGCGCCTCTCTTGCCTGCGTTTCGAAGAAGCATAAATTCCTCCTTCAAGTCGTTGAAGTCATGGCGCAGATGAAGATTTTCTTTCTTGAGTGAAGTGACCTCACTGCTCTTATCTTCCAGAGCCTTCTTGATTGCACCGAGTTCTTCAATCTGGATCTTAAGAGCAAGAACCTCATCTTTCTCCTGTTGAGAACCCATCGTCCTCTGTGTACTCTGCGCCTTCAGCTCATCGATCTCTCGTCGAAGTCTATCTTCCTCGCTGCTTAAGCCTTGTGCCCTTAATAACGCCTCCTTCTCTTTTCGCAACACCTCCAAATTTGATTCGTTCGAAGTGCTGGCACAGTTTGATTTCAACGCCTCCAACTCCTTCCTCATCTTACTAATTTTCGACTCCTCTTCTCCTGGTAGCTCAACCTTCCGCCCCAATGCAGATTCGCTGACCGTTTTCACATTCGTTCGTACTATGAGCCCTAACCTCGCCTCCTGTTGCTCCCTCTCCTTTCTCTCTTCCACCCGTTTCTCCTCCTCAGCTTGGAGCCTCTTTTTCTCCTCTTCCAGTGAGACCAGCCSAGCGGCCTCYCTTTTYCGCTGCTCTSGTTCCTCCGCTTGCTCAGATAGCAAGCCATAAATTTGTTCAAATCTCTCATCATGTTCTCTATCTCTGTTGTTGTTCGACCAATTCGTGGGATATCTTGAACCGTTGTTATATCCCCCGCCGGAGCCCGTATTGTAACTCCTATTACCGCCGTTGTAACTGCCATTGCCATACCTCTCGTTATTGCCGCCATACCCTCGATTCTGAGGAGCCTGATATGGCACTATAGCGTTGGAAGTGCTCGCTGTGTTGGCGCCTTGTGTTGGTGCTGCTAGTAACCCGCTTCCAACCCCTGAAGCTGAAGACGAAGAGCTGGTTCCATTGTTCCTGATACGTGCTGCCATATCCGCCCCGTACGGCACATTCTGGAAGGGGCACTCCCTTATGAAGTGACCCGGCAACTGGCAAAAATGGCAAACACTCTGCCGATGCATCGTAGGGGGACTACCACGTCCTCCCCGTAGCTGACGAAACGTACAAAACCCACCACGCGAGGATGGAAGGAAAGAACAGCAAGGGGGGAGATAGAACAGGGAAGAAGAAAGAATAAGGGAAGTCGATAAAGGTAGTATGAGTGTAATCGTGAAAAAAACAGAGATCTGATAAGATCGAGGAACATAGTCACTCAAACAGGGTAAACGCCCCGCCGCTTAGCTATGTGTGTGTCGCAGTAGAGTAAACTCCATGCATGGACACAACGAAGTGTATGAAACACTCACAACGAAGAAGGAGGTATGGGAAGGTAGACAAGGCAGGAAGTAGAC